GCATTGGGACAAGCCAATGCATCACTGCTTGTGGATGAAGTAAAGTAATAATCTCTTTTAAATATACCTCACGGAAGTAGTTACAGGCTCGTGCATGTGTTTTAGTCTATGAAGATGAAGTAATTTCTGGCCAGGCAGATGGCCTTGTGGAAGCCTTTTCAGGCCTGCATTAGTGTGCTTCCAGATTTTGGCCCAAGGAAATATCCAGTGAGTATTCACTCTATCCATTGCCGCAACAAGGTCAAAAGTGTATTCTAGACAAAGTGTTAGTCACTGCTTTAGAATCAAGTTTGGTTATGATTTATTTTACATACAAGGCAGTAGTTACAAGCTCAATCAAATGTTTCAGATTTGTTTGGCTTAAGGCCCTTTCACATAGGATGCTGCATGCTCATCGCTGCGCTCTGGAATGAGTGAGGAGTACTTGTGCATTTAACTGGGTTGAACTTTGACTGCTGTGCCCTGTGACGTACCATCGCACAACCAATAGAAGCAAAGCCTACAGCTGCGTCAAGTTCAACCAAATGATGAAGGAAAGGAATTGTACCTATCTGATGTGAACTTTTTGACACATTGACACGTTTATGTGCATATATAGGGCTTTTGAGTAAGTTATCCCTTTCAATGGTTCTGGGTAGCTCAGGAGGAAAGCAGTGTTGTGGAAACAACACACTCTTCACTAGTCGGGATAGTTGTAAAGCTTTCTTCTTTATAACATTTGAACATAATACAACACAAACTTTCATAGTCAGAGATACATGTTTTGAAATGACAAGAAGCAGGTGCATCTAATATATGTGAAGTGGCCTCAATAGGATTCAAGAAATTTGATGATGCCACCGCTGAAGAGTACATCAAGATGTATGTGCACCTCAAGCATGCACTTAAATAAATGAAGGTAGAGTATTCCCTCAGGGCTGATAAGCACATCCTACAGTACTTTGAACCAGAATTGTGTTCATTGAGTAGTGCAGAGCAGCCTGTAGCAGTTTTAAGTTTTAGGATCTCTACAATGTCTCTACATCTCAACTGGTGCCATAATGCAGTTTCAAGTTCTCAGTTCAAATGGCAACTCTCACTCTGCGCATGTCTCACACTTACACACACGCACACTTTTCCCCAATCAGTTACATTTTTCCCCTTCATAGGCCACTTTAACACTTTGTGCTCTGGTGTCTTCCTTTATTACCATTGGTGTTGAACTCTCTCTGGCTTGGTTTAAGGACCTATTAAGGCCAGAGCAAGTGTATTAGGTTTTGTATATAGACGCATTTGATACCACTACACAGCATTGTTGATGACAACCAGGATCCCTGTTTATTAGTAGTATTATCATTTTTAATAAAGGTTTAAATGAGGGTATTAAATTGTAAATTATTTGCAAAACAATGTGTATAACTGTTAACCATGATCCAGAGGGTGGAGGACATGTTTATTGTACCAGTTAATTTTGCTGTAGCTTTTTTGTTTCAACAGCTAGTTTGAAATGGAAATGCATCACACCTTCGTGTGCATCTCTGTCATCCGCTGCTGAGACAGTCAAATTAAGTTATTGGAATATAATCTAGTAACATTTCAGCACAGCTAAAGTATATATACCAATGCTACAGTTAAACTATTTACTAGTTAACACCCTTGTTTTCTTAATTAATATTTACTTAGTTGCATTCAGGTATGTCAATGTGTAATTCAATATTGAGTTTATTTTTATTATAATAACAAATTCCTAAATTGCAGTTGGCGGATGATGTGAACGCTCCTAAAAAGGTACATAAAGGCTGCGTGTCCCAGATACTGGCTGTGCAGCTTTGCTGGATCGTTCTAACAAGGTAACGCTTAACTTCTTTGTTCGTATCACAGCATAAACAGAAGAAATCATTTTCTACTATAATTTGTGTATAATAGTAGAAGATGTTGTGTATAAATCTGTCTGTTTTCTGTATCTTTCATTGTGACTCCTGCATGTCCTTTCTCACTACATCCATAAACCTCCCAGGGCCTCTGTGTCTTTCCTCTTGCCACAATATCCTACCCCCAGTCTAACCCTCATCGCTCTTCTCTGCATGTCCAGACTCTCTCAACCTCTCCCCTTTTACTTGACCCATTAGCTAAACCTGTACTGCCTCTCTAATGTAGTTATTAGCCACTCAAGTCGCTTATTTATGTCTGTCACCTCCACCTCCGCATTGTCTCTTTTAACATGACAAACTGTGAGTTGCTGATTAGAGTTTGTGTCATTTTCTCTGCAACTGAACTATTTGCTTTGTATACGTCTGCTACATTGGTACTCAAAATGGGCTCCCTGTGCTATCGTAATGTATTCGGTTCTAAATTGGATGCTAACAGGTAGGGCTGGGTATCGTCACTGATTTCTAGAATCGATTCAATTCCGATTCACAAGGTC